AAAAATTAATTCATTTAATTTTAACAATAAAATTTTTATAGATTTTAGATTTTTTGTAAAAAATTAATTGCGTTAATTTTAATATTGAAATTAAATAAAAATTTTTACTTCAATTTAGTTTAATTAAATTAAAAATTCTAGATTTTTTTGCAAAAGGGTAGTCTCTTTAATTTTAACTAGCAACCTTGTAGTCACTACGTGACTTGTAAACTACCGTGACTTGTAAACTATAAATAAAGAACATTTTGATTTATTAAATTGTGACTTTTGTTAAGGAGGTCCTTTCGCCGCCAATGTAAAATAAAAAATATTAGATTATGAGTAAATTAAATTTTTTTCTAATAGTTGAAGTCCTTATTTATCTAATAGTGAGGTTTAAATTATACTTTACCGGACAAATTTTTGAAAAAATAAAATTTTTAAATGTTAGTATTTGTTCAGAGTCTTACGAGAAAGTCAGACGTTTACAGTATTTCTCGAATTATACTATCAGTCATGGATTAGATGAAGTAAAAAAAAACTAAAAATTAGATTTTCGAAATATTCAGGTTTCTTTTTTTGCAATAGAATATATCAGTTACCGAGATATTTATTGAGAAATTAATATTTAAAAATCACAAAAAATTCTCAAGTAACCTACATTAATATGGAGTCAAAATATTTGGCAACGTTGCGTAGCGCGCGAGCTTCAGACCATTCAATAAATTCAAATTAATTTATTTATTTACACTGACTGCAAAAACTTAAACGTGTTTAAGGTTATATTGTGCAAATGAAAATGTAAACAACCGAAGTACAGCGTTGCCAAATCACGGACAAGTTACTAGCAGCTGATTTGAAAGAGTCAAATTAATTTTTGTATTTAACTAATTTTTTTTTTATTTTTAAAATTTCAACGATTAATGCCTCATATACTATTTATTATTTAATTTTAGGAATTTTTATGGGTTTGACTCAACTGGAGATCGTATATATTGACTACTACAATTGTTTTGACTCAACTAGACCGAAAGGATTTCCTCAAGTTAGCTTGACCAATTCTTGATTTTATTTGAAAATTAAATTAATTGCAAGAAATTATTATAAAAAATTTTCAGTCTATTTTTTTTCTATAATTTATTTGTTTATTAAAAGTTTTAAAAATGATTAAATACCTGCTAAATTAATTTTCATCAATTTAAATAAAAAAAAAAAAATTAAACTTGAAATTTTGTTAAAACAACTATATAAAGGGTAAAAAATCTAAATAAAAATAAAAACAATTTTTTTTAAGTATTAACTATTCTCACATTTATTTCACAACCAACGTCGATTTTTACAGTTTCTTAATTATTAAATAAGTTATTTTACATTAATAATGGCAATGGAATGAAACTTACAACTTATCTCGTTACGTTGAATGAAAAATGAATGAAATGTTAAAAAAAACCACCCTAAATTGAGATATTTGTTCTCACATTACACTTATCGAGACCTTTCATTTGAGTACCCACATCAATTTTTCATATATTTATATATATTATATATATGTATACATGAAAAATATAGCAAAATGCATGTGGGTACTCAAATGAAAGCTCTTGATGAGTATAGTATCGGGATGAGCTTATATCTTTAAAAACGTCAATATTTAAGAAATGACCTAGCATCTTGTCAACTACTGACATTTTTAAAGATATAAGCTCATCCTGACATTACACTCATCGAGACCTTTCATTTGAGTACCCACATCAATTTTTTATATATTTATATATATTATATATATATGTATATATGAAAAATATATCAAAATGCATGTGGGTACTCAAATGAAAGCTCTTGAAGAGGGTAACATCGGGATAAGTTTATATCTTTAAAAATGTCAATAGTTCACAAGATACATGGTCGTTTCTTAATTATATTAAATTGTACTGTACTTTCTCAAGTATTGACCTTTAATTATGTAATTATACGTTTTAATTTAATTAAAAAAATTTCTAGATTTATTATAAAAATTTTAATAATCAAATATTCAAATTATAAAATTAGACCTAAATTTTAATTGCTCTCCTGACAGTTCTAAAAATTCAAATTAAAATGAAAAAAAATTTTCTAGAACAACCGATGACCTAATTAAAAAAAAAAAAATCGCGTGACAAACAGAAAAGTTCCCTCGAATAAACGAAATAATCAAAAAGATAATCTCCAGCTACTGTTTTATCAATTAAATTTTTTAGCGTCATTCCTACTTCACCGTACCCAGTTAAAATACAATAAAAATATACATGCATGTGTATTGTAAGTATTATAATCCGTAATGACTCGTCACCACGTACGACCAGGAAGAGAAGCCTGATATTATGACACAATAGGATATTTAAATTTTAATTATTTCTTCTTATTCTAGTGTCTTCTCTCCTCGCTATCAGCGCCAGCGATTTGCAAAGAATAGAACAGAAGTGGAGATAAGAGCAAGATAACAAAGCGGCTGAAGAAAAACAACGCGCAATAGCATGAGAAGTAGAAGAAGAGACTGCGGTCAGACAATTCAATTGTCAATAATAGATCAAATTAGGGGCTAATTGCTGTTTTTTTCCGCAACATAAAGTGGAAATCCCGGTTTAATAAATTAAAACTAATAAATTACCGGTCATTAGATCGAATTATTTGATAATAATTATTAAGATATTTTTTTAAGAAGTTGATTAATTTTTTAGGAAGAATATCCTGATACATGGGATACTAACAGCTCAAAGAGGAAAATAATAACTAGAATATCCGTTCACGCTCCGGAAGTACGTCAACAGCTGAAATTTAAAATAAAATAAAATTATAAATCTTGAGGTTACATAAGCCTGCGCTATGCATCGGTGAATCCTAACTTAAAAGTCGGATGTATGCCATTTTGCAATCATTAACCGAGCAATGTTTATGGCGATACAATGCCAGCGATTCGTCGATCCCGTGATACCTTATTATTAGCCACTTGTTTCGTAATATGACGACAAAACAAAATGATACATGATCATTTTTACCCCCGCTTTGGATTTGAATGGATTTACTGAAAAAAATTAACTTGATTCTATTTATCTTGATTTGAATGGAAAAATTTTTGAATTTGTTGATTTAAAAATTAATTTTTTTACTGTATAGAAGAGAATTTAAATTATAAGTTTCATTTTTTTTTTAAATTGATTTTATAGAAATTTAAATTTTAAAAATTGGGAAGAAATTATGAAGATATCTATTTTTAAGAAAATATAAGTTTAACAAAAAAAATTTAGCCATTAATTATTTATAAAAAAATTCATTAGATTATCTATATGATTAAAAGAATAAGTCAAATTTTGTGATCAGTGTAATAAGTATTTAGGCTGCATTCGAAAATTCTCTATCTCTAGGTAGATAATTAAGAAATGACCTGGTATCCCGTAAACTATTGATATTTATAAAGATATAAGCTCATCCCGATGTTACACTCATCAAGACCTTTCATTTGAGTACTCACGTCAATTTTTCATACATTTATATATTTTATATATATGTATATATGAAAAATATATCAAAATGCATGTGGGTACTCAAATGAAAGCTCTTGATGAGTGTATCATCGGGATGAGCCTATGTCTTTAAAAATATCAATAATTAAGAAATGACCTTGTATCTTGTCAACTACTGACATTTTTAAAGATATAAGCTCACCCTGACATTACACTCATCGAGACCTTTCATTTGAGTACCCACATCAATTTTTCATATATTTATATAAATATATATGGAAAATTGATGTGGGTACTCAAATGAAAGCTCTTGATGAGCGTATCATCGGGATGAGCCTATGTCTTTAAAAATATCAATAATTAAGAAATGACCTTGTATCTTGTCAACTACTGACATTTTTAAAGATATAAGCTCACCCTGACATTACACTCATCGAGACCTTTCATTTGAGTACCCACATCAATTTTTCATATATTTATATATTTTATATATATTGTATATGTATATATGAAAAATATATCAAAATGCATGTAGGTACTCAAATAAAAGCTCTTGATGAGAGTAACATCGGGAAGAGCTTATGTGTTTAAAAATGTCAATAATTAAGAAATTACCTTGTATCTTGTCAACTACTGACATTTTTAAAGATATAAGCTCATCCTGACATTACACTTATCGAGACCTTTCATTTGAGTACCCACATCAATTTTTCACATATTTATATATTTTCTATATATGTATATATGAAAAATATATCAAAATGCATGTGGGTACTCAAATGAAAGCTTTTGATGAGTGTAACATCGGGATGAGATTATATCTTTAAAAACGTCAATAGTTAAAAAATTACAGTGCAATTTAATAATAGTCATTATTTAATAAAGCAAAATTTTATTTATTTTATAGTTCACAAGTTACGGCAGTCACATAGTGACTGCAATGTTGCTAGTTTATTAATTTGATAAATTTTTTAAAAATATGTTTAATAAAATTTTATAACAAATTGTGAATTGAAAATTTAGATTTGATAAAACTTTTTATCCAAATTTCTCAATAGTAAAAAAAATATAACTTGATTATAAACATATAAATTTTGAATCAAATTAATTTTGTTTTAAATACTTCCATAATTTTTTATAACTCGAGCCAATGAATTAAAATGATATAAAAATTTTATTAAACATTTGTTATTGTTATTATAATATAATTATTATAAGTGAATAAATTTTTTGCAAATCAAGATGAAGATAACATATCTGAATGAATTTAAATGTATGGATTGAAAGAAGAAATACAAACATGAGTCACAAGTTATAAAAAATGATAATGCAATGGCGAAATTCAACAATCAGATAATTAGTTCCTTGAGTTATTCAAATTTATTAATTTATTTATTTATTAATATAGTACTCAGTGACTGTGATTAAACAGTCTATTCAGCGGTGTTGACTGTACTTCAGTAGGGGACGATGAAGATATTTGTTATCGACTGGCTGTATAAACAAACAGTTTTTTCGGACTCACCTTGAAAGAGGATCCACAAAAAGTGCGACTATAATAACAGCGACGATGACGCAAGTTAAGTAGATCGCGGATATCTCGTAGATCTCGGAATCTGGTGGACGCTTCAAGGATTCATCCGCGCCGTTTCCGATCACACAGAAGTTAGCGCCGCAACTTTTTAGTTTTTTGTAGCGCGTTGAATTTATGTCACCTTCGCCACCGAATTCTCCTTCACTTAAAACTGAAAAATAAAGTTTTTTTTTGTTATTATTAATTTTTTTTTATTTTATTTTTTACTACTTTAAGTAAAAAAAAAAATTATTCATAAAATGATAAAATTATTCCTTACATTCCTCAATTGGGGCGTCGCCGGTTTTTAAATATAAACGATCAATAAATTAACATATTTAAACTTTTTTTTCTTTTTCTTAATTTATTTTGCGTTGCAATGGATTTATTTATATTATTTTAAAAATTTTATATAAATAAATATTAAAAAAAATTTTTTTATTAAATTTTATAACTTTAAAGTTAAAAAATGCAAATTGGTATTGTTTTTTATTCTTTAAAAATGTTTTTTATGAATTTTTAAATTGAAAATTTTTTTAATTTTTTTGCTCAAAATTTAAAGATAATTTTTTCTAATATTTTGCATCGAAAATAAAGTAATTTAAAAAAAAATTAGTCATTTTTTTTAATTTTTAAAATTTTAGATGTAAATTTATTCTGAAAAATTGAAATTAAAATTTATTTTTCAATTTTTTTTTTAATCCAAAATATAAAATTATTTTTTGTCACTTTTGAATTGTTGAAATTTATAAAAAATTATTAAATAATATCATAAAACTTTTTTCTTTAATTTTTTCATTTTTTTTAGAAAAAAAAATAAAAAAAAAAAACAAGCTTTTTTTAAAAATTTTTTTTAACCTGTAATAAATAAAAAAATAGGAAAAAAAAAATTTTTTAGTAAAAAAACTGTAGACAAAATCTTAACAAATATCAATAATAATTATCACCAAATTCCGACAACTCGTTATATTAACATTGAAAAGTATATAAAATTGTTAAAAAAATAAACATTAAAAACTCCGGTGGGTCAAAACACTGGCAATAATAACAAGCGTAGCAACAAAGTGGAATAAGACATTAAAGAATTGACACAAGTGCGACGGGATGTGCGCGTATACTGTCTAAATGTTATTAAAAATTATACGGATTATCGGTACATATATTAATATTTTTTATAGATAAAGAGTTGTTCACACAAGAGCGTTCATGCTCGGATGATCTTATCGATTAATGAAATTAATGAAATTAATAAATAAATAAATTAATTAATTAGATAAACCACCGCTTACTCTACAGTCTACAATATTAATATTATTACTTATTTAATATTTATCAATGTACAAAATAAAATAAAATTATACGACTTTCACCATGCGACAGCGCGCCAATAATAACAATAAATAATATTATTATTATAATAATAATAACAATAAAAATTAATAATAATAATAATCTGTTATTGATTGTGGGGAATTTACTTTCGAATTTACGCAGATTCAGATTGTAAATTAACGTTGGAAACTTTGATCAATAAAATTATAATTAAAAGTATTAATTAATAATTAATTTGGAAGTTTATCGATTGATTGAACAGCTAATTGTTCGGCAAACATAATTATTTAACTCCTTAACCTCGAGATTTTGAATTAAAAACATTGACCTTGATTAAATTTATCGCCGAGTATTGAATAATGATAATCCAACACGGGATTTCATTGTTTAATTTACAATTGGTAAAGGTCAGATGCTTAACACTTAATATTTTTAATTTTACAGTATGAGTGAGAAAAATTAACATATTTCATTTACTAATTTATTATTACATTAGTTTCATTTTTATTGTTGCGTGTGTACTTTTTTTATCTAATACTAGATCTAATGTTTTTTTTAATTAAAAGTCTCACCACTTGTTTTTTTATTTTTTTTAATTACACGGATGGTTACTAATACTTTAATAGAAAAATTGAAAGAATTGATTTTATTTATTAGGAATAATTTTTAATTTGGAAAAATGTTGTTTTTTTAATTAAAAAAAATGCCAATAATTATGATTTTTTTTACGACCTCTAATTTTTTTTTTTTTTTTTACAAAAATTGAGATGACACTGAAGTTAGCAGACGTCTAAAAATTTTTGATTTTTTTTATTAATTAAATTACAACTAAAAAAATATTTCTAAAAAATTGCACTTGTAGTTTTTCAAGTTTTTTACATGTAAAATTTTTTTTTTTAATTGTTTAATTGAAATTTATTTAATAAAAAATTTCTAAAAATTTTGAAATGTCGGCCACCTTCATTTTCATAAATTGAGGCCATATTAAAAAAAAAAAATTTAAGAATATTTATTTAAAAAAGTTTAAAGATTTAAAAAAATTATATACAAGCCTTAAATATTAAAAAAAATAATTCAATTAAAAGAAGAAATAATTTTTTTTTAATTATTTCTAACAAATGAATAATAAAATTTTGACATTAAAATATAAAATTAATTTTAAATAATTAAAAAAAATATTTTATAGGAAAAAAAAAGAAAAAAGGCTCAGAAATAAATAAGCGAAGAATTGTCTAAAATTTTTCTAAAAAATATAATAATTCTTAAAAAAATTATCTAAAATTTTAAGAATATTTATTTTTAGAAAAATAACAAAAATTCTAAAGATTTAAAAAAATAATTTTATTAAACGAAGAAATAATTTTATTTGTTAATTATTTCTAACGAATAAATCATAAAATTTTGACATTAAAAAATAAAATAAATTTTCAATAATAAAAATAAATTTTTGGAATGAAAAAAGAAGAAAAAACGCTCAGAAATAAATAAGCGAAGAAATCATTACAGGTTTGTACTAGTTAAGTCTTGTTTGACTAATTGCCTTGACTGTCTTTCACTGATACATAATACAGTCCATGTAGCATAAATATATTAATATATAATATATGTATGAACATAAAAGATATCAGAAACTTGTAATAGGACTTTAAACATAGTAAATAAAATAAACTTGGCAGTTTCCGTGTGGCATTTAATATCACGTTTCTTACACGTGTTGAATGTTGAAATACTAATATACTAATAATAATAATGATAATAAATATCGGATACGATGAACCGAGGCTGTTGACTATGGGTAAATTAGTCAGTGAGATACATGCATAGGACGTGTATAAATAAATTAATTTGTTGTTTTTTATGTTCTTCAGACAGATATTTTGCTGAAGATGTTTGCGGAGTTTAATAACGCGTCAGCCTGACTATCCATTGACCCTCACTACTATTTAAGATCATATTTAGTACGTTCCGCTGATACACTCACTAATTGTTTTATTCCGCTTTCAGTCAATAATCATTCTCGGAATAACTACGCGTTAGTTTATTAAATTTTTATCTTTTATTCAAGATTTTATTATCATCAATTAATTAGTAAATTATATTCTTGGTGTATTAAATAGTAGAACTTACAACTAGTGATTTTACTTTTTTTATCTACTTTGTTTTTGTTTTGTTAATTCATTCAAATTTTTTATAAAATTCTTAGTCTTAGAAATATAATAAAATTATATTAATAATTTTATGCGTTTAAAAAAAATAATTTCACTTTTTTCAAAAGATTTCATTTCTTCGTTGAAGAAAAAATTTTTTTTTATAAAGTAAATAGTAAACAAAAATTCTGAATGATAGCTTTAATTAAAAATTTGTATATTTTTACAACTTTTTTAGTTGTTAAATTAATAAAAAATTCAATAGGATTTTTTTTCATCTATATCAATATTTATAAGGTAAAATAGTAAATTTTAAACGCAATGATAAAAATTAAAATTATAATTATTGACTTTGTGCTTTTTACTGATTCACAAAGTAAAAAAAAAATTTTTGATGAAAAAATTGACACAAATTTAGAAAAAAAAAATTTATATTGCACACAAAATAAAAAAAAAAAAATTTTTTTTAAGCTAGTACGAGCACCAAGGTAACCTTTTGATAAAAGGTTTGATTTTTTTTAATATAAAGTTTAAATATGTCTAAATAAATTTCAAAAATTTGAAGGAGGTTGCTAAATAAATAATTTAAAGTTGAGCAATTTAACATTGGTCGTATGGGGTAACCTCCAAACATTGATACATTTCTGTATTTTTCTCGTAAAACTGTCGGTGAATATTTTTAAAAAACTTATGGATGAAAGTAAATATATTAGTGATAAATTTAATTCAAAAAAATTTACACTTGCCCGACTAATTAAAGTGTATCCAATTAAAAGAAAAATAAATGCCGGCATTGGCCAATGTTAAATGTATCTCTATATATTGAGAAAAATCATATGGTTACTGCTCTCCCTTTACCGTGCTAGAGCCGATACCTATCCCCACTCCGTCTAGCGCTCATACTCTTACTACCTTAATTGAAAATAATTTTGTCTTAAAAATTAAAGAAAACAATTTTTTCGTAAAAGAATTGATAAAAAATTAACAAAAAAATTAATATATAAAATTAAGGTAGTTCTGTCATAAATGCAAAATTTTAAAAAGTTTTCAAAATTTGAAATATGGGTAATAGAATACGCATTACATGTTCTGTTGAAATTTAAAATCAATTGACCATACCAAAAATGAGATTATTGTAATTATATATGTAATGAGATAATTGTAGGGGGGGGGGGGGAGTGAGAAAATCACAAATATTAATGGTTATTGCATTGAAAGGACTTTAAGATCGTTTAAAAAACTGATACTTGTTAGAATAATATACTTAAAATAATCGAAAGAAATTTTTAAAATTTATACCATGTAGTTTTTTATAAATTGTTAATAAATTGGCTAGTTAAACAAAAATAACCATTCGTAAAAGCGAATAAAAGATAACTCGTGAAAAAGACAGCACTAGCGAGTGAAAAGGAAAGAAATAGCACAAATTATATGTCCCGAGTGAACTACCTTAAAGAAAAAAATTTTTTTATAAAAGAATTAAAAGAAAAAAACTTACCGAGAGAAGAAATAAGATTGCCCCAGAGTTCAGCAGTCTGCCAGGCAAGAAAGAAGAACCCGAAGAACCTGACAACAATCGCATCAGCAGGTTGATCAGTCAGTTTGGCATAAACCCCACCGACTTGAGTTAAATAAGTGGCCTTGGCAGCCCACATGGGAGCCGCCCCCAGCCCGAGCAGCACCCCGGCAGGCACGAGGGTGTAAAACCTCGGGTAGAACTGCGATCCAATATAGGGCGCGTAGCAGAGCATCGACAAGCAGAGCGTCCATTTCACAGTGAGCCTTTTTATCAGGAAAGTCGGGACGAATATGCAAGACAGCACCAGCGCCGCGTAAATCGCGGACAGCGAGACTGTTCCCAGACCATCGGAGGCGTTTATCGAGGACTGGAGGTTCGCCGTCCCCTGGAAGGCAGTGAACTGGACCATGAAGGCTATCGACACTGTTCCGATATTTTTGAGGATCCGCCACTTTTCGCTGCGCGATAATTTGAACTTCCTTGATTGCGTGTCATCCTCGGGGGCGGGAAGCGCCGGGGGCTTCGTTGGCTCGGGGGGGATTCCGTCGGCACCGTCTTCTTTGTACCCTTCATTTCTGTACCCCACGCCGGTCACTGAGACTGTGTAGACTGCTGTTTCATGCTCGTCTGGGGGCGACGAGTCTCCCGCGGGGGTTGCTGATGCTCCGTTTGTTGGTGGAGACTCACCACCGCCCCTTCTATCGTCGTTTTGTGATGCTACCATTCTATTTAATGACTACCTGTAATTATAATTTATTTTTTTTATTAATAATTATTATTAGTCTGCAATTTTTATAATTTTTTTTTTTTTAATTATTTGCCAAATATTTTTATTAAAATTTATTTGACAATAATTTTTATCATAAATTATTAATAGTAATTATTTGTCTATAATTTTTGTAGTAGGTTTTTTTTTTACTTTTCTTGGAAATTTTTTTTAAATCTACAATTTTTATAAATTTTTTTTTTTTACTTTTGTTAGAAATTATTTTTTTTTAATTATTTGTCAAATATTTTTATTAAAATTTATTTATCAATAATTTTAATTATAAATTAATAATTGTACTAATTTGTCAAAAGTTTCTATTAATAATTTTTATCATAAATTAATAAGACTAATTATTTGGGTTGTTGGGTTTAAATAAAGGCAATAAATAAATAAATAAATTTGTCTACAATTTTTAAAACAAATTTTTTTATTATTTATAATAGAAATTATTTTTTAAAAATAATCTCCTAAAAATGTCTATTGAAGGTCATTTATCAATAATTTTTATTATAAATTATTAATAATAATCATTTATCTCCAATTTTTAAGAAAAAATTTTTTTTTACTTATAATAAAAATTATTTATCAAATATTTTCTATCTAAGTTAAATTTTCAATAATTTTTATCATAAATTACATCAGAAACTTTTTAAAAAAATTATTTATTAAAAATTTCCATATCAATATTTATTTATAATAAACTTATAATAAAAACTATTTGTCAAAAACTTGAACTAAAAATTTTAAATCAACCCTCATCATTAAAAATTAAATTGTATAAAATTCTTATTAAAAAAATCTATATTAAAATTTATTTAAAAAAAAAATGTTAATTCCTCTTTTAAAATTTAATGTATAAAATGTTTCTATTTTGAATAAATTTTAATTAAAAGTATTATTAAAATTTATAATTAATAAATAAATTTAAATCAAATTTATTTAAAAATGATATAAATTTTAAATAAAATCCAAATTCTTAATTTAAAAAAAATAAAATCAAGTCTTAAGTATGTTATCACGCATGCGCAAACTCCGAACGATTTATATGGACAACTAACATGAGTAACTTTCAGCTGGGAGCGTGGCGGCTTCTGTAATCCGGCTACTCGGAGGCTAGTTATTGTGGAGGATCTGAGACCAGGAGTCACTGTGGGTGCAGGATCCACGTTGACTGGGCGTCCGCACTAAGCTCTGCCATCAATATGGACACCCTGAAGGAGTCCAGGGTGTCCAGGTTAGCTAAGGAGAGGCGAACCGGGCCAGAGGGGAAACCCAGCAGCCAAAAGTCTCCGTGGTGAGCAGTAGTGGGATCGCGCCCGGGAGTGGGACTGCGTTCGCAGCCTGGTCGATATGATTCGACCAATAACTTTTTTTATTTTTTTTTTCATTTTTCCAAATTCTCCACAATTTTCCCTTTAATTTAACCCCAAGTTCAAAATTATTCATAAATATTTAATTTTCCTTGAAATTTTTTTTTTTTTTTTTTTTTTTTTTCATTAATAAGTCATTAGAATAAAAAAAAAAAAATAGAATATTTATTATTGGTACTATGATTTATGAGTTTAAGTGAAAAAATAGAATAATTAATTTAATAACTCTATTCGAGGGCGTATTACGTTAAATAATGTTTAATAGTATAATAGTTAATAGATTGTCGGGTCTAGTTAGATTCTAGGAACTCAAGGTGACGAAATAACAATGAAATAAAAATATTAATTGTTACTTTTAACCAGCTCGAAATTTTCCGCCAGCTAAAACTAATAAGCGCTTTTTTCAATAGATCATTATCTTATTACTTGTGTAATTAACATTATTACCGACAATCATCTCAAGTACTACCAGTTAAAGAAATAAAATTGTTTATTTTTTATTGTTATTTATATTATTAGGTAGTTATCGTCTCGTCAAAACAGGAATTTACATAAAACTAAAATAAAATACGCACGTGGATGCTGATAAAAAAATTATAAGTAAACACCTTTTATTTTTCCGGGATTTAAAGTTATTTTTTTAATAATTTTTCTATTAAATATTTTATAAAATTATTTTAATCCCTTATGAATAAAATTTAAATTAATAATTTATAAATCTTGTATTGAAATATTTTAAAATTATTTTAAATATTTTTTTAAAGATAATTTTTTTTATTTTAGGATTAATAAAAATATTAAAAAAAAAAAAATTGTCAAAAATTATCAATAAAAAATCTATTAATTGATTTTTTTAAATATATATTTTTAATATAAATTACTTATATGAAGGACTACCGTGAGTAAAATAATAATGAAGGACAAAAAGAAGGAAGTGAAAAATATGAAGGAAATGATGGAAATATGTATTGTAAATTATATTAAAGAAGGATAACAGTAATTAAAAAAAAAAAAAAAAAAAAGCAATAAATATTAAACGGTGAGCTTGTTTTCGACGCATTCACTTTAGTATTTGGCGTAAGCGTACAAATGATTGCGTAAGGAGCAGTGTGAGTATGATCGGTGTATTGTGAATGTACGAACGTGTTGTATGCATTATAAATATCAATACCAAGTTTAAAAGTTGAATACTGTTGGTATTTATTAAGCGATAGCGGTTATATGGTTTACTATTGATTAACAGTACGCAATATGTCATGGAAATTTTCTCTGTTAGATCACTTTAAATAATCAATATCAACTGATTGAGATAATTTGGAAAAAGATTTCAATTCTTAGAGTTCACAATTTAATATTACAAGTAATAAGGTTTGCAGATTTTTCAACAGAAGAAATATCAATGAATTTTGATAGATAATTTATAAGCCGGAGCAAGTATTACGGTTGTGATAAATAATTATTATTTATACTCGCTTAGAATCAGTGGAATTTAATAAAAGTCGCTGTTAAATTCAACCTCATTAAATAATGCGAAACGCATTAATAATAAATACATCAGACCGATATCTTAAACGCAATCCACAAACTTGCAGCAACTTTAAATAAATTTTCATTCCCGTTTATTAACATCATTAAAATAAATTCAATTAATAAACTAACTCGTACACTTTAATCAGATTTATTTTACCGCTTAATAGACATTGATTAATTAAATAGGATCCATTACAATCTGTGTAAATTTACCGAGTGTCAATAGCCTAAATCGACCATCTGAAATTTTTTTTCTTTATAATTTTTAATCTTTACATTCACCTTTTCAAATAATTATCTAAATTTTATCTTTATTTCTTTTAGTTTTATTTCTTACGTCTAATTTATTAAAACTCAAATACTTTTTAAACTTTTCCTCCTCTATTACACCTGAATATTCAATGCCCTTTACAATTGAGTCCAAACCTGATATACTTATCTTTATTTCCAACGATATACGTACATATTAATAACCGGCACACGTCAATGTTTTTTTTTGCAGCCTTTTGTGATATATTGTAAAAAATAATTTTAAATAATTCACACGACTATTTTTTCAAATTTAAATATCGAAATTATTAAATTGATTTTTTTAAACCAAAAATTACTCACACAAAAAATGGATCAATCCAAAAATTTCCTTCTTGATCTTTACCTTTATTTTAAAAGTATTCTAATTTTTTTTTTCTACGGTTAGTATAATTTAATTTTTTTATTATTACACTTGATTAAAAAATACATAAATAGTAATCAATAATTACTGTCTATTCATTAGAATATTCTTATAAAAAAAAAAAAGTGATTAGCGATTATAAACTAATTTATTTAGTTATTATTTCTATTAAATATGAATACCAAAAATTACTCACATTAAATGAATTAATTTCGAAAATTTCATTCTTTACCTTTATTTTAAAAATAATAATAATAATTATTATAATTTATTATTATTCTATTAAAATAGTAGTCGCCTAATCTTGACCTTCAAACAAAAATAACAATAAAATATGCGCAAGCATTAATTTTATTAACACAACTGAAAACTGTTCTTCGGAATGTAAACAAATTTTAAAAGTGTTTAATCACACCGGCGATTAGTGAAAGTATTTTTATTTGATAAAACAAGAATTGCTCATACTTAGCATGAGGTGTCATTGTTATTAATTCTTAATTCTCCATTATTATTATTTAATTTATAGACACGCCTTAATTAATTTATATTTTAACACAAAAGAATAATTAATATAACTATAAAAAAAATAATTTATTAAATTATTAATTATTCATTAAAATAATAGTGAGTACTTGAAAATTGAATAATAATCATCAATTAAATGTTCGCGATAAGTTCAAGGTTACTTTCTGTATACATTTTCCTGTATGTGTAAAAAGTAAAACATCAATTTTCTTTTCAACTGGTTGCAATCGCTGTAATTATTTTTTAATTGGCAAAAATTAAAAGAGATAAAATATTTTTTATATTGTAAAGTAGTCAATATTTTTATGTAAGAAAAAAAAGACAATTTTTTTTTCAGCTGAAAAAAACTATTGTCGTCTGCTACGTATTTTTATTTATAGAAAAAATAAATATTTTATGACTACAGAGTCACCGACGTTGTTTTTTTTATAATTATTTTTTTCAAAACAGGATTACTCAATTCGAAAGTAATTAATGCTCTTCATCTGCCAGGTGAAGGACGCATTAATGCGTAAATTCTACGAAGGATGCGCGAAATCCTTGGTGGTTATTTCCCTTGAAAATCCAAAATAATTTTTGTTCGCGGTTATTGTTAATTGTAATTATTAATTTCAATTGAGTATTATATTCAAATAAAAATTGTTTAAATTTATTTAAATTATTTTAAAATGGACTTTGTGATATGGGACTAATTAAATGTTAAAGAGATGATGATTAATATGTTTACTATATTTATTATATTATTTTCCAAAGACACGTAGGGACATCAGACAAACGTGAAAGCAATTTTAATTATATTACATCACAAGTCGTTAACCCACTGTGTCTAGATAAATATAAATATATAAATGTAAACA